TTTTGTGATTTGCAATAATTAGACAAAGTATTGGTTTCTGCACATCTTCAGAACACAGATTATGAACTGAACTATGACAAAATGCTTGTGACTGAGGTTTAGTTATTTTCTAGAAATAGAATAGAACAAAAAAAATCACATCACAATTCAAACATTATATTAAAAGACATCAAATTAAGTCACTCCATGAAAAACAAATAGAATAAACTTGCTTAAAGAGATAAATAAAATTTTCAATTTAAAAGTATCAGGGAAATAATTGCATATATATACATATTTAAGTAACCCTAAAGGAATACAAATAAAGGCATATGCAGAGGGTTATTCATGCAGAGACATAGGAACTAAGTACCAAAAATTAAATAAAGAACAAAAAGCCTTATGTAAATTGAGTCAGGAAGTCAAAATAAAAGGAAAAATAACTAAACAGAAGTGTCCTTTTAGCCATTTTATTTATGGTTCCTGACTCCCAATAGTGTCAAGTTTATGCTTTCAAAATGATTTCCTCTTTTATGTATATTAATTTAATTATTTATAAAATATACATTTTGAATTTTATTTTTATGTATATAAATTTTGTGTATGTACATATGTTATATGTATATATGTATGTATACATACGTAAATTTATGTATCTATTTAATCATTAATAAAATATCAATTTTACTAATAATATACATTTTACAAATGATTAAATAAATATACATAAAAGAGAAAACACCATTTTCAAAAAATGAGCTTGGCAAAGTGAACTATATATAATAATTAAAGCTAGTGCAGAAAAATGAACTCATACAGCACTGTTGAGAATAAACAGTAAAAAGCTTCTTGAGAGATTCATTTATTGTTCACCAGTGATTGACTGAACCCCAGATTTGTGCCAGGCTGGTCAACAGATAAAGCCGCTATAAAGAGACCTAAATCCCTGCCCACACAATAATAAATAGAGACAACAAATAAACTAAGCAAGTAACATATACGTGTAAATGACATTGAGGGATAGAGGAAAAATCAGGGAAGGGAGGCAGTAAAAACAGTGACTAATGCTTTATAGCACTTATGGTAATCCATCATGAGTCTAGTCTTTACCACTTTAACTCATTTAATCCTCATAGCTGCCGTTGAGGCAGTTACTGTGGCTATTTTTGTTTTAAAGAGGGTGGACATCAGACACAGGATGTTATGTGACCAAGTACTATAATGATACTCATGGTGGAGCCAGAATTTGGACCCAGATAATCGAGTTCCAGTGTTCTCCCATGTCACCTCTGTGAAAGTGTCCATGGGTAGAAGAGGGAGATATCTAATAAAGAGTATTCCAAGGAGAGGAAGCAAATACAAATACCTAGGGCTGGTGTGCCCTGGGGTCCTGGAAGTTAGTGTGAATAAAAAGATGCAAATAGACTACCAATGGCCAGACAATTCTGGATCTTGTGGGCCCTAGTAAGATTTTTTTCTTTTTTTATCCTTACCCGAGGACATTTTTTCCCCCAGTATTTTGTTCAGATAGAGTGGGGGAGAGAGAGAGAGAAACATTGATGTGAAAGGGACACATCGAGTGGTTGCCACCCACAAGACTCAACCAGGGCTGGGGACAAACTGTAACCGAGGTCTGTGCCCTTGGGGGAACCAAATCCGGGTCTCTCTGGATCGCAGGCCGACGCTCTAACCACTGAGCGAAACCGGCCAGGGCCCTAGTAAGAATTTTTTATTTCACTTGCAGTGAAATGTGCAACCATGGCAAGATTCTGTGCCAGGGAGTGAGATAATGTAAGTTACTTTTTCATTTACTGATTAAAAGAATTACTTCGTTTTAAAAATCAACTGGAGAGGCAAAGGATGGATACAGCAAATTTACTTGAAAGGATGATGGAAATAATAAAACGAATTATTAAATCAGAATCCCTCTAGCTCAGATCACAGGGGTAAAAATGGACAAGTATAAACAAATGATGGGCCCTGGCCGGTTTGGCTCAGCGGTTAGAGCGTCGGCCTGCGGTCCTGGGAGACCCGGGTTCGGTTCCGCTAAGGGCGCGTACCTCGGTTGCAGTTTGTCCCCGGCCCTGGTCAGTTGTGCGGGTGGCAGCCACTCAATGTGTCCCTTTCACATCGATGTCTCTCTCTCTCTCTCTGTTCCTCTCTCTCCCTCCCACTCTACCTGAGCAAAAAATGGAAAAATGTCCTCGGGTGAGGATAAAAAATAAATAAATAAATAAACAAATGATGGCAACACATTAGAAGTGGTTTTGATATTTCAATTATTTGCCATTTGTTTTTGCAATTCTGTTTTGATTATGCAAATTGGTTTGGGCATACATTACCAAGGACTAGTGATTTCATGGTGAGATCATTCAAGTTCAAATATAAACTACCTTTACCTTTGTTTTTTATAGGCTAATCTTCTCCTAATTGAAACTTTCTAATCACAGTTGTGCCCTAAGGGGGCAGTGATCTTGGGGCAGTCACTTCCAGGGAACAAAGGCATTAACTCTCTAGGGAATAAAGACTCCACTATATGAAGGCTTGTATCACACATTCACATACCCTCACTCTTCCAGGGGGTCATTGGGAAGGAGACCCCTGTGGAAAAAGTCAGGGGAAGATTTCTCCCACAACCAGGTAGGCTAACAGGTACTGTTGTTATTTGCACAGCCCTCTTGCCTTAAGTTGTCCACGGTTTTCTCCATTATAAAGAAAGTAGACGACCCTGTCTTCCTCTGCTCCAACTAGGTAGAGTCGACATCTATACATAAGAATGAAATAACCTTCTTAACTCCCCTAAAATCTTTTCAGCAATCGCTCGGAGTCTTGAACTTTTTTTTTTTTTTTTTTAATAAAAAGCACTTTAATAAATTTCAGAAGCAAATATCTATGGAAGGAGAGCATTTGTGTGTGTGAGAGTTGCCTTTCAGGAGAAAATTTTGGTGGCTTTCTAAAATGTGTATCAATCAGACCTTCGCAAGTGAAAATAACACAAAAATGGAAGCTGGTCTTTTCAAAATTTGGAATTGAGAAGGGTGGATGGATTTTCATTTTTTCCTGTTATTCTAGATGTAGCGGCAGGGTGAAATAAGTCTGGTTATAGCGTATGTGCAAAGAAAAGTAACTCAATGCTAAAACTTCACTAATTGCCTATAAGATACCTTAGGTGATGTTTATCATGAAAGGCTGAAGGCAGGACCAGAGGCAATATGTTCCTGTATCTGGAAGTGGGACAGTGCTGGCCAGGACAATGCTTTCTCGTTTCCTCACCTATGCTACACCAAGAACAGCGAGCTGCAGTACTAATAGCTGTGTTAAGATGCCAGGTCAGGAAGACAAGTCAGGTCCCAATTTCATCCAAACACACCTCTCACAAAGTGGGCTTTGGTTTCACCAAGGAGAAAGTAAATGGATGAGAGAAAATTCTTCTCATGTCAGATTTTATGTATATGCATGTATGTATATGTTTATATATATACATGCATATGTGTATATATGTATGAATGTCTATATATTTGTTTTGTTTTTGGAGAATACATTAGGTATAAATTATATTATTAAACCAAGTCAATAGAGGAAAAATATTTTCTGACCACGTTCACCAAACTGTTACAAAGCAATTTCCCTTCGGACAATATGTTTGGGAAGGGAAAAGGACTATCCTTTCTATTTTACACACTTTATTTATTTATTCATATATGTATTCAAATTTGACTTGGCGAGAAATTATTAACTGTTACTTTCATTCCAAAATTAAAGTTAGCTTCCTCAGCCACAAAGGTGGAAGAAGCTTTTAACTTCCAATAACCACATCATTACTTGCTGTAATTATAGACAAGTTGCCTGAGGAGAAATAAGACACATTAATTCTGCTGTGGAGGTGGAGATGGGAGGGCACTGGAGACCAGGGTCTAAGGAGGCTTCATGAATATGGTGGCAACTGGAGGGAGACATAGCTTTGCATTTACTATGAATATAGAATCCAGATAAGGGGAAGTGACGAGGAAAACTGCTTACAATCTGGTTCTGTCTCATTCTCCTTCTTCTTCCTCCTATAGTTGCACAGGATGCTGACTGGCTGGCAGCCTGGATGCCTAAGCATGGACCAAGAGGCAATACTGCTATATTCACAATTGTGGGCACAAAGGTCATTGCTCTAACAATGATAACTTTACACACATGAGAAGACCAGAGTATTACCTCCTGAAATCATTCTTTGTCTCATCAAAGAGATGACCACCTTTGAAAAGCAAAAATTGTTGCTGTTTCACTGAAAATTTAGCAGATATTATAGAGACATTTCTGATTATAAATGTTGGAAGTAATTAAAATAGAACACTATAGAACACTTTAACGTAGATAACTACATTTTAAATATATATATATGTGTATATATATATATATATATATACACATATATATATTCTAGCCCTGCTCACAAAAGTTTTTTTTTAATTTTTAGAACGCATTATTTGAAATGTTAGATATATTCATATTCAAAATTTGCCTGACCCACAAATAGAAATATTTAATAGGTCTTTTTTCCTTCACATTGAGTATCCTGCTTAATTTTTACTTTAAATAATTGTTTTAAAATATATCAATTCAAAGGGATAAAGATGTAGTACATTAAGGTTTTGTTTCACCAAGAAGAAAATAAGGAAGCAGAAAGAATTTTTAAAAATACTTTTCTCCCTATCCAATATAATTTAAAATTACTTCAATCTAAGCTATTATGTATATTTACAAACATAGAATGTTTTGTTTTTTATCTTTACTATATAGCCTTCAATACAGTTATTTTTCATTGGCTCTCAATTTTGGGCCTCATAAAATTATACCCAGCAAGAAATGATCATTTGAAATGGGACGTGTTTGTTCTGATATTCTACTCCAAAGAACTATAATTTCTGACAATAAAACACACCAGAGTTGGCATTCAATGACAATTTCTTAGTCCCAATAATTTGTTTCTGGCTCTATCTTGTCTTTTTCCAGCAGCTGAGACACAGGAATAAATGGCTGAAAGAAATAGCACCAGTGTAACCGAATTCATTCTTTTGGGCTTCTCAGTTCATGGGGAGATTGAAACTGTTCTCTTTCTGCTCATTTTGGTGATATACACTCTAACTTTGGTAGGAAACATTGGGATGATTTCATTAATCCGACTGGATGCTCGGCTTCACACACCCATGTACTTTTTCCTCAGTAATCTGGCCTTGGTGGATCTTTGTTACTCCTCTTCAATAGCCCCCAAGTTCCTGGAGAGCCTCCTGACCCAGCACAGGTCTATATCTTTCTATGCATGTGCAACACAGCTGGGCTTTTTCCTGAACTTCTTGATTTTGGAGATGTTCCTTCTGGCGATAATGGCTTATGACCGCTACGTGGCCATCTGCAATCCTCTTCTGTACATGGTGATCATGTCCCAAAAGGTGTGTGTGCAGCTGGTATCAGGCCCCTACTTATACAGCTTTTCTGTTGCTTTGCTCCATACAGTTGTTACTTTCCAGCTGGTCTATTGTGGCCCCAATGTGATCAATCACTTTTACTGTGATGATGTCCCCTTAATGGCCCTTGCCTGCTCAGACACCAGCCTCAAAGAAGTCTTGATTTTCATCTTTGCTGGATTCAACATGATCAGCTCTTTGACCACTGTTCTTATTTCTTACTTATACATTGTGGCTGCCATTCTGAGAATCCAATCTACAGAAGGCAGGCGCAAAGCATTCTCCACCTGTGCCTCTCATCTGACTGCTGTGACTCTGTTCTACGGGACTCTGATCTTCATGTACCTGCAGCCCAAATCAAACCACTCCCTTGACACAGACAAAGTGGCCTCTGTGTTCTATACAATAGTCATTCCCATGCTGAACCCCATGATCTACAGCTTGAGGAACCAAGAGGTAAAAAGTGCCTTGAGAAAAGCCATTGAAAAATGTTATGTCCTGCCTCTAAGAAACTTTAAAAAGTGACTTGGAACAACACCTGACTTGGAGCAAGGCCACATACAGATATGTTGTTTTTATATTTTATTTTATTGTATTTTTATTATTCTTCATATGGCTAACATTATTTTGTATATGAGTTCTATTTTTATATAGTCTATAATAAAATGAAATATTCAAAGGAGTAGAATTTATTTTTAACAAATTGCTACTGTTCAGGTAGGTGACTCTAGTATCTTTTACCAGGAAAGTTCCTATTCAACTAATAATAATTTTTAGCTGTTCCTTTTCAATGTGTTTCTGTTGTTTATACTGGTGGACGACAGAGAAGGGGGCAAGAAAGGTGAGTAAGTAAGTTTCTAGTCCATTCCCATGTCATTTCATAGCCTTTTCCTCAAGTGTCTCCTGTCTGTTAGCCACCATGTCTCACTCTGCCTCTGACCACCACTGGATTCATTGCTGATCACTCCCTGAAATTACACAATTAGCATGGATTCTAAAGAACTCAATCTGCTGAATTAGAATTCTGTGCTACAATTAACTGTGTACTATGATAGGTGTTAGAATGATTCTAGCAACTTGGGAAATTTATTTTCTTTATTTGATAATGAAGTTGTAAACAACAAGCAATGAAGAAAGTGAACAAGAACAAAATTAACAAATAATGAACAAAATAAAGTTTATTATCAAATACACAAAACAAAACCATGTCAATGGCATGTGTCAGAATTATGTGAGAATCTTCTCCTTCCATGAACTGAGTCCCCCTTTTATTCTATCATTTCTGCTTTCATCTTGCCAAAGGCTCATGATTCAAACCCAGACATGACAAGTAATCAAAATCTTTCTGCATTCAAGTCATGACATCTCTGTAAAAGAAGCAGTTTGTTCTTGAAATCTCATGGTTTTGGGTTCAGACTTACGTTTTACCACTTCTAGCTCAGTGACATTGGGTAATATCTCTGGCTTCTATTAGATAGACTCCTCAAAACCAACTCTTAGTGGTAGGAAAAGCTGATTTAACATTATTGAGTTCTGGTAAGTGGTGCTTATAAAGTGCAGGGCCTGGAAGCTGACTCTGCCCTAGAGTTACAGCTCATTAAACACTGTGGGAAGCACATTGGATACCCAAGTTCCCTCCAATTCGGTTTGAATATTATATGACTAAACTTAACCGATGCTATAACAACAATGACTTTCACAACAGACTTACTGGGATTTTCTCTTACTAGAACCACTTTAGAGTCTTAAACATTGCAGAAATTATTGAACTAAAAAAATTCAAGTAGTGAGGTATATTTAAACCCTATGGGAAGTAGAGCTTTGATATATAGAGTTGCTGTATATATAATAATATAGAATATCTATATGCAGTAACTATTCAAAGTATATTTTATACATATATATGATAGGCAGTTGTGTGGGTGTGTGATTGTGGTGACTTGTCATAAAGTTATGTTGTTTTCTGACTTTTAGTTATTACTATGATTTTTCCTACATTGTAATATTACATTTACTTTTTGTTTAATATATTTTTATTAAATTAACTCATAGTTTATTTAAATAAATCTGAAAACTAAACTATATATAATCATTGAAAATGAGAAAGATTTATGCCAGTCATCACAAATAGAAAGTAACAAAAATTATAAACACTCAAATATTTAAAATAACCAAATATCTGTGTGATATATACAATCATCTCGTATATTGTATTTTGGGAAATACTGGCAAAAGAAATCACAGTATAGGAGTTAATCAGAAGTTTATAATAACCAGTTTAACTTAAGTCATTCTAAATTATCTTAGTATAGGTTTAATGATTAGGTTTAGATGTTAGATTTTTGTGATAATACAAATACTGTTAGAGGTTAAGGTAAGGCAATTAGACCTTCAGTATGTGGCTTCCATATTTGGATCTAGGTCAATAATTTCAATGGCAACATTTTTGAGTGGGTAGGGGAAGGAAAAATATTTTAAAAATTATTTTTATGTCTGCCTCACTCAACCACAACACCATTATTAAAGCAGGAATAGGATGTTTTAAGTGGATGCAAATGATACACGTTTTGGAGAGAAAGCATTGAATTATAATTATGACTTTTAAGCTCTTGAATTTATTTCCTTTGGGGAGAGTGTACCATCACAGAGAAATTAATCTTGAAAGTCAATCAGTTGTCGAGGGCAAGTATTCAAGAAAGGAGAGTATCTTCGCTATTTTTGTTTGTTTTCTTTGTTTGTTTGTTTTGTTTTATTTTCAGTTTTGCTTGTTTTGTAATTCCAAAGCATAAGGTTAAAAATCTAAGAGAATAATGCAAAGTTTATGCAGTCAAGTGGAGAGTGGAAAAGAACTCAGGATGACAGAAGAGCCATATTCCTGACCACAAGAAGTAAGGGCTCGAGCTCACATTGGCAATGTGAGTAGGATTTAAAGATTAGTGAATCATAAAGGAAAATGTGCCCTTCCTCTGGGTAGCATACTGGATTCAAATGAGGTTGCTGCAAAGTCACAAAGCTACTAAAAGTACACCTGCTGGACTGACATCCTTACTCAACACCTGTCAGGGCCCAAGACCCAGGGTCCAGGGTGTCTCAGTTATAGTGGTCCTGGGTATTCAAAGGCCTTTTCTCACAGGTCATCTCATCTGTCACCCTTTCATCTAGGGACAGTGGAAAATGAGCAGTTCCCCTATTTTAGAAAAGGAACTAAGTCAGAATTTGGAAATCATCTTTAAGAGTAACTATGAAGCATTTGCACTTAAAAGTAGTTTATGAAGGTGATGTGTTATAAATCCATTTTCTGTTGGTAATGAGCTGGAGGCTATTATCAGTAATAACCAGGTCTCAGGGAGCTACAAAGTGATTCAGCTTTCTAACTCATCAGGCTAGTTGTGGAGTAGAAATCACACTTGTTCCCCATCATGGTATAATTTCCCATTTTATTTTCTTTCTGTTCCATGTAAACAAACATTTCATTTTCACAAACTTGTTTTTACTACCCGTGGTAATGTGCACATCTTTGTGTTTGCAAGGCAACAGGGAATGTGAGAAATGTTTGATGATGGGCTGAACTAAGAGCTTTCAGGAGCAGGAATTTCTGTGGCGTTTCAATGACCAGGGCACTTTGCTGTCTGTTTCCTTTGGGGTGCACTTACAAGGTTAGGCACGGCATAAACGTGCTTTTCTCATGACCAAAACATTAGTTCATGTTTCTAATAACTCCTAATCCTACACTGCATGCCTTTTTTAATACTTCAAAACTATTTCTACTATCTTACTTCACAGATTAGGACCTGGAGGCTCAAAGGAATATGGAGGCTTGGAGGACGGAGATAGATGCTAGGGAGTGGCAGGGTCACCTTCCCAGGTGTTACATCCACCACATCAAGAGGACCAGTGAGAAGTAGGACCAGGACAGGACTGGCTCACTGTACTGCAATATGACCTCATTTTAACTAACTACATCTGCAATAACTTTATTTTCAAATCATGTCATTTTGAGGGACTTGGGCTTATGAATTCAATATATCTTTTTGGAGGATACAATTCAACCCATACTAACAATAGCTAAAGATGTGTGTTGGCTAACATGTCTGATGGAAGCTCACTTATTCCATACCTACAAGTGGTGCAGAAAAAATTGGTCTAAAATCCCTGAGGCCAAGAAAGAAGCTTATAAGTATCTGAAAATAGTAGTGAAGAGAAGTAGCCTGGAGGCTGGGACAATTGGAGGTCATGATGAGTCCAAGGTCTCATCAAGCAGGGGGACAAAAGGGTTAAACACAAAACTAGACCAGTGGGTTTTTACCTCCTTCTAGTGAAGACAGAGGGCCAGATTTACTTTACTCAATACTAGGAGAATAGGCAAGTATGTGAGGAGATTTCATCATCCTCAAAGCAAAATTTGCCCTAGGAAGTAGAGGTTAGATGACACAAACACTCACAGGGAAAACTTGGCAGGCTCCAAAGCCCACCATGATAGCCAAAATGGTGAAACACAGAAAAAAAAGCCAAATGAAAGAACAAGAGATCTCTACCAAAGATGAGATAAATATGGAGCAGTTAGGCAAGTTAACAGAGCTAGAATTAAGAGCCATGATCTTGAGGAAGCTCTACAGCATGAGTAAAGACATAAAGATGCTGAAAATCAACCAACTGGAAATCAAAAACCACCAAGAAGTGAATAATGACATATCAGAAATAAAGAACAAATTGGATGGTCTAAACAGCAGAATAGAGTAAGTGGAGAGCCGGATCAGTGAATTAGAAGACAGGATAGAAAAAAATCAACCAATCAGAAAACCAAAAGGAAAAATTATTAAAAAACAGGAAGACAGCTTAAGAGAACTGTGGGACAACTGGAAACATAATCATATTCACATCATAGGAGTCCTCAAAGGAGAAGAAAATGAGCAAGGGTTAGAGAATATATTTGAAAAAAATTGTGACAGAAAACTTCCCTAATTTGGTGAAGAAAGAAGGCATTCAAGTTCAACAAGCACAGAGAGCCCAAAGTAAGAAGAACCCACACAAAGACACACACAAAGACACATAGTAATCAAAATGCCAAAAATTAAAGACAAAGAGAGAATCTTAAAGGCAGCAAGAGATAAGCAACAGGTTACCCACAAAGGAACTCCCATAAGGCTATCAGCTGACTTCTCACAAAAACACTATAGGCCAGAAGGGAATGGCATGAAGTGATCAAGGTTATGAAAAAAAGGGACCCGAATCCAAGACTACTCTACCCAGCAAGGATATCATTCAAAATAGAAGGTCAAATAAAGAGCTTCACAGACAAAAAAAAGGCTAAGGGAATACGTTAGCACCAAACCAGCACTGCAAGTTATGCTAAAAGGACTGCTGTAATTAGTAGAAGAAATAGGAAGAGAAATGTAACCAAACTAAACAAAAATGGCAATAAATAAGTACATATCAATAATCACCTTTAATGTAAATAGACTGAAAGCTCCAATAAAAAGACACAGAGTAGCTTACTGGATAAAAAAGCATGACTCATCTATATG